CATCGTCCACTCTTAAAGCCAGAAGTGGTGGCTATTTCATTGTGGAAGGACCACCGTTGCTTCTTATGAAGGTACGAACAGTTATAACAATGCCTCCTCGAGCCCGAATGCCGCAATATACTGATTTTCTGATAAATAATGAGTGGAAAAATAATAATACCAGTAAGAAAATTTTTCAAGTTCATAGGTTTACCGAGATAATTTGCAGCAATTCTGTGTAATAATGAAGATTGAAAAATTAATATTTGCTTGCCATAATATAGCGTTGTTTGCTGTTTTTACGAAGCTTACTTGTCTGACAACAGTCAGCACAGGCCCATGATATTCCTCGTGACAAGGAATTCAACGCTCCTGTAGTTGGCAAGAACCTTGAGCATCATGCAGCTGGTAGCTCAACTTTAGCTCAGTTCCGCCTCCAATTTGGAGATAGAGCACACCATTTGAAATTTGAACCACTAACCTCTCGAGAGGACTTTTGGCTCACCGCTTATTTAGAGTACCCTCTTGCCACGCAATACTATCATCGATACCTTTTCGATTCGAATTTGGGCCCTTCGGTATAGGATAGTACTCACTAACTACTATTATGGCTCGGCGGATAGTACTGTTTCAATTTTTTAAGCAAGAGATTTTTTTTTAAATTAAGAATGAAAGAATAATTTTTCAAAAGCAATTATTATGCAAAATATTTAAGAGGAAACCTATAGCAAAAAGATTATACCAGACCTGCAAAGGCAAAAATTTAATCAAGGAATTTTTTCTCAATATATCAAATTATGACTTGTTTTCTAAATTCCTTCCTTTTCTTTTGTTTTTTGCAAGTGTTGTACTCCACAATCAGTAACTTAATTTAAAAACATTTTCTTATTAATCTATACACATATCTATATTCCAGCTATGGAGAAAATGCAGTATAGCAACTTTAGAGCTTGAGGCTATCCTTGAGGCATTTTCAAAATATTATCGTTTTTCTTTTTCAATATAACCTTCGCTTGTTCTTTAGTGTAATAAATTGGCTGATAGAAAAGTCCTCTTCTTTATACATCCTTCATAAAGATATTTCTTTTTATAAAAAAGCCAATAAGGATAGTTTGGTTGAACTCCTTATAAATCAATATATAAAGAAAGGCAAGTGAAATTAATTTTATTGAATTCGCTCCTATATGAAAGCTAAGTATCCATTTTCTATGTTTATTCAAAGAAAATAACTCTACAAATTGCGAATTTATCCTTCATTTAGTGTTTACTCATGCATAAAATAGATTTTCAAAATTGCTTTCGAGGCAATGTCAACGGCTTGAAATATCATTTCATTGCCTGTGCAAAACTTTCCTGATCTAAATAACTGGTACATTCTTACAGATATTAGGATAAGAAATTTCCATTAAAGATTTCTATTACTTAAATTAAAAATCATCTTGATCTAGTAGAAAACAAAAATTGCCCTTAGATAGCTACAAAATTTATTCAAAAATAGCGAATAGTAAAGTTGTTTCTCTGGAAATATATCTACCAAGTCTAACGATGATTCTGCATAATTGCTGAAACTATTAAAAAACCCAAAAATCACTCATTGCTTTTAATAACATAAACGCAAATGTAGCAGTCAGTTCTACTTTAAATTCCCATGTATTTCCCAGAAAATATGTCACATGTATATCCTAAGCAGTCCACTTCTAGTTCGGAGGCTCAGCACTTAAATAACTACATTGAAACTGGGAAATAGAATAACATATGACTCCATTGTAAGATAAATAGTAATAATAATAATAATATTTAGTCGCTATATGTTAGCTTCCTCAACTTTCTAGCCAACCATTATCGACTACACAGGATTTCTTCCTTCAACAAAAATCATTTCAGCAAACAATCATTGTTCATCTTAAATTTTTGGTTGGGCAAACTGCACAGGGCACTATCATATATTACAAAAATGTAATGCAGAAGCCCCTGGTTAGTACTAAATGCGTAACAGTTCTTGCAAGATTAGAACTATGTTTTTTAAGAAATTTAATCAAGTGCATTTTGATTACCTTTATGCCCAGTAGACAACATTATACATTAGAATCCTAAATATATTCTCATTTTGAAATATTCTTTCAAAAATCAACCTTTCTCTAAGCTTTTACAAAACGGCATAATGGCTGACCTGAAGGAAAGCTAAGCAATAGATTTTGTGTCAATCATACAGGACATAAACAGTATAGTTCGCACAAGTTTTCTCTTACTGGTTGATGTCATGGGTATATACGAGTAGAATTCATATAGCATTACTGACAGTGTGAAAGTCATTATATAGTAGCATTCACGGGGCTTCTTCAGATGTTGTTTATATTATTCATACGTCTAGCTCGTCTTCAGGCAATGCTCACTTATGATGATTCTACATTCAACTTCTGTTATTAAGCTGTTCTTTTGCAGATGAAACCCAGTCTGCAATTTAAAAATTTCATAATGAAATTCCTTAGTCACTGTATGTTCTTTTTTGTGACAATTGCATTAATACAGAGAAACTCACTGAAAAGCAAAGGTTTTAAATATTTAACTGAGCTATAAAGTTGCACATATTTTGCAGAAATTTAACTTTCGGGTTGTTTTTTCTCCCATCAATAAAATTCCAACTTCTATATTCAAGGACCCCATTCCGGATATGAATTCCTGGGGTATTTATAGGATTCCTTGCCAGTGTGGTTTAATTTACATTGGCCAAACTAAGAGAGCCTTAAAATTTCGCGTCAAAGAACATGAGGCATATGTTAGAAAAAAGGAAACACAGAAGTCTTCTGTTGCTCAACATTGTTGGTCCGAAAATCACACTTTCAATTTTTTCTGCTGCCAAAATTATTCAAAAAACATCTTCCATTGGAGAACTGGATTTTCTAGAGGCATTTCACATTCAATAAAAATCTTTCTGTTCTAGTTAACGATCTAATTCCAATCCAAATTTGCCTTCGGCTTTTAGAGAAATTATGTTTTAGTTCTGGTTTCGCCAACAGATGGCGCCACTTGCTTATTCTTGTCCAGGCTTTCTTATCTTATCTAATCATTATTTCCTATCTTGTTCATTTGCGGTTTTGCAGCTGAAGATGATGGTTCGGTAAAACCATCGAAACTAGTCCTGTGAAAATTTTGTAGGTATAACGCTGATTTTTGTTTTTTGACTTCTGAATTAGTATTTAACTGAGTTTGGATCACCCTATTAATGAATGCAAAAGGAAAAATTATTAGAGAAACAACAGAACGAACACGATGCCAATGTATAAAATTTGGTACTTTTCCTGTTATCGGGACCACATTCAGATATCATACATCTTTAGAATTTGTAATCTAATTGCCAATTTTGAAAAGGCATTCTTTCACTTTTTAAAAAAGTAAAATTTATAACGATTTTAAAAGTAAATACTGGCGAATTCATATGAACCAGTCTCTTGGACCAACGGACCAAGGCGTAGGCTTCCGGAGTACCTTTGCTGAAAACAGCCATTACCTCCACAACTTCATTAAGAAAAACTGAATAATTAAAAGATGAGTATGGCTAAGTAAAAGGAACGAGAACCTTTAAGGGTTTAAAGACAGAGACAGGAGAACGAGAAGGAGTCCACAGAAAGCGACGAAAAAATTCTTTCAACTCCTAATTTCGACTAGGTAGGGGTCAAAGGCTTTCCGCCTCAGCAATTGAGGAGAGAAAGAGGTGATTGTTGAGGCGATGAAAATTTGCAAGGGGACAAAAATATGTCAACAGTGGTTACCCTCCCAAGTACTGTCCGCGCCCGATGCTGCTTGACTTCGGCCCAAGGCCCAAGGCGATATTTTCCGGAGTACCTTTGCAACTTAATGCAATTACCTCCACAACTTCGTTAAGAAAACTGAAGTAATTAAGAAAGAGCATTGGCTAAAGGGAAGAGATCGAAACCATTAAGGGTTTACTGTGAAAGAAATGGATAAGAAGTCCACGCTGGGGACGAGAAATTCTTTCTGCTTTCAACTTGTTATCCAAGATTGAAAGAGAGAGAGGTGATGAGTTTGACTTCGGTGATCGGGCGAGAACCGGTACTTTCAGCATGGTATGGACATTGAAAAATTTAAGGGGAAAAATAACGTTAACAAATAAAATTCGATCAAAGGGCCGCTACATCTTTAGAATTTCTAATCTCGTTGCAAATTTTGAAAAGGCATTCTTTCACTTTCTAAAAAAGTAAAATTTATAAAGATTTTAAAAGTAAATACTGGCGAATTCATATGAACCAGTCTCTCGGTGAGTGTGGAATATTTGAAATTTATAGTGGCGCTCAAAGCAAGCCCAAATGTTAACCGTTCTTGCTTGTTCAGAACGTCTTCTGATGGCAGCGAGGAAGACCGCTGACAGAATTTGAATGCCAACAGGCAGGTTATTTTGGCATATAAAATTGTTTATATGTATGTTCGTAGGATATAATTTGAAGATTGTACATATTAATGCATACATAATAAAGGACTATAAACACCATGAATAACTCCACTTTTGAACCCCGAGATTACTAATTCATCAGCGAGTTTCACAAAGCATTTAGCGACATCCCAATAACAGAATAGTACCTAAAATTCTAATCAATAGTATAATGATTGTGTCGCCCAGACAGAAAAGTGGTTAGTGACACTTATTGCCGTTACGAAGTGCTCAGATTCTAGTCTCAGCAAAGACATGGATGAAAATTGTCTGTCCGTTCACAGAAAACAATGTGGTACACCTATTAGGTGCCTCCATAATAAAGTAAACACCGTTTCTGGCCTTAGTAGTGGCGAACGTCTATAACGGCTAGTGCTCACATCTAGAAATTAAAAAATAATAATAATAAAATGGTTGTATGCAAATTCAAGGTTATATTGTGATTTAATAATTAATGAATTAGTCATTTAATTCCGACTCAACCCACAGACGTTTCAGAAGAAAACTTTCGATGGTTTCAAGAACCTTCTTTTCAGGAAAAACGAATTAAATTATTTGTTTCCTTTGTTTTTAGGATTGAACCATGAAGTCTTGTTGGGCTGTACTTCTTCTCCTGGTCATTTTGCAGAATTTGGCCTTGAGTGCACTTGGCGGTCATCACCACCATGGAAACTCGAATCTTGCCCACATCCTAGCTGCAGGTCTCATCGTCCAATTACTGGCAAGTGCTGGCAAGCATAAACATCATCACCACCATGGCCATCATCACGAGCACGAAGCTAGACATAATGAAATTGGTTATGGTCACGAAGAGGCTCTTCCCTATCACGGCCAAGAATGGAATAATCCATCTGATGGCGGTTTGCAGACACAACCCTCTTTCGCTACTGGTTCTTGGGCAAGAACTCCATTGGACCTTGCTTATGCTCGCTCGCGTTTTGAAGAACCTTTGCTTGAATCTTACAATGTCCCATACTTTTATCCACCCCCTTCAGGAATGTGGAGGCTGCATTAATCATCGACATGCTCTTTAAACTCCTGATTTTATTTGCCGTAATAAATGGCAACATAGTACAATTTCAGGCATGAATCGAATATGCAACGTTTGAGGTAATCTTGAAACTGTCCAGAAGCTTTTGCTGATAAAAACATCTTTTACTCTTTTCCCGTTCATCTTTCCTTACTTTTCACATAACTGTGCTTCTTCTGTTTTGATAATAATTTGTGCATAAATGTTTGTTTTCTGGCAATAGTGCTAAGAAACTGTGTTTAGCACTTTCTAAATTTTGCTTTAGATTTGCATATGATTTTTATTATTTTGTGATACTAAGTTCTTCTCCTTTTAATTATAGTTGTTTATCTAATTTTTAATATGTGTTTACTTCTTATTTAGAATTTACTTTTGACACTTAAAGAATTGGAAACTCTCTTTAAGTTTCTAGTTTTTATATCTTTGTAATATTTTTTCTCTTGTTTTTGCATTCAGTAATATCCCTTGTTTTATTACTTTATTGAATTTTTATGCATTCCGTGAATTTTTTTTTTTTTTAATTCACTGAAAGTTAACCGAATTAGTCATCTCGGTATCTTAAACGATCTTGAGCCATAGAATACATCATGTAATATTTACTCAAACATTAAAGTATAGTTGTTCCCGCATTGATATGTAATGAAAGCACATAAAATCTGCTCTTGACGCATTGCGCATGCCCAGAGATCAGTGGCGTACTCGTACTCTTAAAAAAATAACAGTTTGCAAAGTTGTAATGAGTTAAGTGACAGTATTTCTGGGTTTTATATGCAATGAATCAAGAGTTTTCATTTATCCAAATAAATATACATTTAACATCAACAATACTTTACTGTTTGCATAAATAAATTTATTCAATTTAATACCACTTTGAGAGTGGATCGAATATTTGTAAAATAAATCTTTGTATGTAAAAAGCCAAATTATAGATTTTATATATATTTTGTAAATATGTAAATGAATTGTATAATAAAAATAGTTTTTTTTTATAAAAAATGAGATTTTTTTAACATTTTCTGTTGATATATTTTGATGTTGAAACTAAAATGAAGTAATTCCGATTTTCGTAAAGGAAAAACAAAGTGTTTATCAAAATGAGATTACATGAGTTACTATAATATGGCATCCTTTGCGAGAGTGCTAAATTTAATTTAATTAAATGTAGTTTTGCGAAATTTCAGAACAATGGCTTTTGGGAAGGGTAGTTATTTCAAAAGATTTTGTAACAGTCAGTACACCAAATACGAGAGAAGTTTTTAACTCCACTCAGGTACAAACTTAAACTGAGTAATAATTTTATAAAACTACGTTCTACCGAATCCGCTTGCGTGCAATAGAAGGCAAAAAACTTCGTGTAGCGTCTCATTAATAGATGGCGAATGTTGCTAGCTAATAAAGTATAACGGCAGCACTGAATCAAATCTTAAATATAAACAAAATATTTTAATATTTTGTTTACATTTAAGATTGTAAGAATTTCCGAAAATAATCGGTTATGGTTATAATGTTTAAAATCAGATGTTAAATATAAACAAAGATTAAGAATTTTCAAAAATAATCGATTAAGGTTATAATGATTTACATCAGATGTTAAATATCAAGAAAATATTAAGAGTTTCCAAAAATAAATCGGTTACGGTTATGATGATTAAAATCAGATGTTAAATATAAAGAATTTCAAAAATAATTATCGATTAGGAAAAATTTAGTTAAAACTGAGTAGAATTACAGTCGTTTAATAAACATCTGATGCTTAATAAATAGAGAAAACCTTGCTTAATAAATTTCAAACAAAAAATTTTAAAATAAAATATAAAAAAGTTAATCTAAAGGCTATTTCTATTAGCTAGCTCCTCGACGACAACACTCAAAAACTGCAGTTGCTCTTAATACCTTGCGATATAATTATTGGTTATAAAGATATAAAGAGTAACTGCAGTTTTGAGTGTTGTGGTCAAGAAGTCAAATTTCATACTTTTTAGTGCCAATCAAGCTAATAGAAATAGGCTTTAGATTAAAAATTTCTTTTATATTTTATTAACTACTTTTGCCTCCCAAAAGCTGAGGGGAAAATTATGCACTTGATTAAACGCGTTTACAGCATTACAAATGAGAATTAGTTACAGATAAACTACTAATAACTTTCACAACATTATTTTCTTAAATGAAACCTACATTCCAATAACAATATATAGTTACATAAACATTAAAGTATCTGACAGATATCGAGCCGATATCTTAAGGTTAACTCGGACCCCGTCTGAGTTATCTTGTAAAGCCTCAGAGACATCTCACGTGAATGAGTCTTGATCTCTCTCACCAAGAGAGATATTGGACAAACAAAGGATGAGGGGGAAACTAAAAGACTCAGATTTTCAAATATCAGGCGCATCACCCCTCCATAAGACGGCAATGAGCTAGAATGTAAATAACAGAAGTAAGGTGAAATCACATGTTAGGAAAGTTCCTTAATGAGATACATTCCGCATGAGAAGAAGAGAAAGAATGACCTTGCTTGTTTGCATTAGTTGTACATAAGTCAAGTGATCTCTGAGGTCATCTGCATTGTTTGTTTATAAAGGTAAACATAAGTCACGTGATCAATGAGGTCATCGGAATGTATCTCATTGTTAAAACATTTGCCGTGTTCGTGTAGCTTAAAGAAGAAGAAATTGCACAAAATTGGCTTCGAATAATAAATGCAAGGGAAAATAAAATGGATGATTTGCTAATGTAAAAGTGCAGATACTAAATGAATATACTGCAACGTATTTTGCAGTATTTAACAAAATAACAGATGATCTTCTTAGTAAAACATAAATTTTAGTTTTAGTTTAAGAAGATACATAATTTGAATACAATCTTTTAGTTAAAAAATTTTCATATATCTACTAGATGGTAAAACTTTCAGAATGTAATTTTAAAACAATTTTTTACGTTACTGAGCAACGGTTACATGATACAAATATGGCGTTGCCACTCCAATAATAAATATAGTTATTTGTTAAATAATAAAATATTGCAATACTCAATAAAAGTGAAACTAATAAAAGGTTATTTTCAAAACCTAAAAAACGCATGTTAATAATTTTATTGTCATGCGATGATATGTAGTTGCTTTATTTTTTACCATGATATTTTCAATGACGATGTTTTTAAACTTTGAAAAGCTTTGTTTTTGAAAAGTTTTCGATTTGAACAATAAACTAGTCCTCAGAAGGAAAAACTATGTACAATAGAGGAAGAGGAAAATTATGAGAATATTTTCAAAATTTTCAGAACTTAACTCTAAAATGTTAGGAGGAAAATACGTAAGCAAATCCGGTAAATATTGTAAGTTGTAAAAAAATAAATATAAACTAACATTTGGAAAATAAGCATAATATCAGAATAATTTGTAACGCTCCTGAAAATGATGTAATATTATAAATCCACAACCAGAGTTTAATTCAAGTGATGAAATGAACACATAATTCATTTCATCAAATTCACTAATTGTTATGTTAATTGTTTTCGTCACTTCTTTCAGTCAGTTTCACAGAACGTAAATCCTGCGGGATCTAAATAGCAAGCGAAGCTATAAGTTAAATAAAAAAGAGTTTAGTGTAAAACTACTATTAATGGTATTTTTCCTCGTGAGCCGCTGATTTGAAGCTTAGGCTGGATTCAGTAAGTATTTTCTGGCTATTGCTGGTGTTTATGTTCAGAGGTCCGGTTTAATTTAGAGACGGGTTGATAAATATTGAATTTACAATTTGTATTGCACATATTTAAGGGGACTCATACACCTTAAAACCCATAAGACCTTCGAATAGATGACTGTTGCAAGAATTGGAATAACTTATTTATTTTAAAAGCAATTACTTTTACAGCTGACTACATAATATAGCTAGCTGCTTTCATAAATAGTAATCAGAAAGTTTGTGTTGCCACAAATATTTTTATAATTTAATCTGCTTTTTGACAACATTTTTCGTCCTGTTTCCACCTTTCGCGCACAGTTTAAAACCTTCTGTTTCATAATTTAATTCCAAATTTAATATATAGCTTTTATAACATTTGAAGAGTACTGTGAACCTAAAATTCTAAAAATTTCATGTTAAATTTTTATTTTATTTTGAGTTGATATAATAAAATGTATTTTATTAAAACATTTTGTAATGTTTTCGTCCATAAAATTTTTCAATATTAAAATATTCATCAGATTTTTGGTTCAGTTAGAAAATAGTGCCCATATAAAGAATTCCATCCAATTTCAAGTATGTACCATTAGCCATTTTTAAAATATCATGCGCGCAAGGTGGAAACGTGGCGAAATATTTTGTCACAAAGAGGATTAAATTACAAATATATTTATGGCTACACAAACTTTCTGGTTACTAGTTTCCAAAGCATCTATATTATGTAGTCAGCTGTAAAAGGTTGGAAGTAACGGCTTTTAAAATAAATAAAATATCCAAATTCTTGCAACAGTCGCATATTCGAGGATCATAAGGGGTTTAAGGTGTAAGTTTTTGTATTCCAAGAACACGCACGGAAAAGTATGTGAATTTGTTAAATTTTTAATTGTATACTAACAAGTTGTAGTGTACATAAACTTTCAGTTTGTTTTTATTTTTATTTATTTATATTTATATTTCTCAGGCGCTGCAGTGCAAGGATGATAACATGGCTGTAGCGAGAATGTCGAACACATTGGTAGTGCAGAAGATTTTTCAAGCGTCTAATAACTTAAAGGTTCAATTAGGTAACACGTTCATAACACAGAATGCTATGCAAGACCATAATAAGTTGAGAGTCAGTCAGGTAACACGTTTATAGTACAGAAGGTTATATAAACGTGTAAAGCTGACACTCAGTCATGTAACACGTTTATAGTACAGGAGATTATGCAAGCATACTATAATACGTTGAGTCCAAATAACACGTTTATGGTACAGAAAGCTAAGTAAGCATGTAGAAAGTTGAGACTTTATACAGTACAGAAGATTATATAATTTTTAAATAAGTTGAGGTTCAGTTATTTAATACGTTTGCAGTACAGGAGGTTACTCAAGCGTATAATAAACTCACAGTCAAGCAAGTAGCACGTTTGACTTGCTCCAAAAATAGCACGGACGAAAACGCCACGGAAAAAGCAACGCAAGGCGAAAATGTCATCGTACGAAATATCGTAGGAGAAAACAAACCAAGGGAAAAAACATCGCAGTTCTAAAACTACAAAACAGAGTCATCGGGAAAAAAAACGCGGTTCAAAAACTTTTCAAAGTTTAAAAACATCGTCATTGAAAACATCATGGTAAAAAATAAAGCAACTACATATCATCGCATGACGATAACATTATTAACATGCGGTTTTTAGGTTTTGAAAATAGTAAATGCATATTTGTGTAATGATTTATGAGGAGGAATGAAGCTCTAGAAGTATGAGATCATAAGTAAAGAGATTTATTTAAACCTTTAATCTGACCCTGTATTTATTTTCAGACATTCGCTTCATTCCTTTTAAGAGATTTTGCAGTATTTAACGTTCACCAGATTTGGTTATGTGGTTTCAGCCTCACTTTTAGTTCAGTAAAAAATAATTCATTTATTGTACATGTTTACTTATCTGTGGATACGTTAAACCAAACACGTAATTCCTTTCGAGAGAGGAACAGAAATTGCAGTCAATCAAGTGGAGTTATAGTCCATCCCCTCCCCCCCCCAACAAAGATTTGAGATATCGGGAGGAACACTTTGCTCGAATTCGCCATCGAAAACCAGATGATCGCTTTATCGTATAAATGCCACTTAAATCTGTGTTTCTAAAAACATAACTTTGGGCAGTTTCAAAGAGCTTGCGTCAAAATGCTTATATACGGTTTTGAGACTATGAAAGCATACACAACGATGAAAGTGTTTTATACTGAGTTCATGCAAGAACATGAAAGTTTGCATCATAT